ACTAGAGATAAAGAAAAAATACTAAAAGTGGCCAGATAAGAACAATACATTACCTAAAGGGAAACAATGATTTGAATGGGAGAGAAGGAAGTAGTTTTAACATTTTTCAAGTACAAAAAAGAACTGCCACAATCCAGAATTCTACATTCAGTGAAAATATCCATCACAAATGAAGGTAAAATAAAGATATTTTCAGAAAACCAGAATAATCTGTCAACAGCAGACCTAACCTTTAAAAAAATGGCTAGAGGAAGTTTTTCAAATGGAAAGGAAATAACAGAAGGAGGCCTGAAATTCAGAAAAGAAGAACAGAATGGGTAAAAAGGAGGTAAAGGAATTAATAACTAGTTCACATGAAAAGAAATATAAATAGCTAAGAAATGCTAATTAAAAGTAGCATTTTTTTAACCTTTAAGGCTGGCAAAGATTTAAGAGTTTGATAATATATAGTTTTGCAAAAGGTGTACGTAGAGCAACTTATTTTCCTGTATTCTAGTGGCAGTATCTACCAAAATTATGAACAAATACATAACCTCTATAATCAGGCAATTCCATTTCTAGGAATTTATTCCATGTGACCAAAATTCACACACGTGGAATGATTTCCAAAATGTGGAAATGGAAACTCATGGGCAGAGACAGGAAGGAGAATTTTCACTGACCACTATCCTTTTATGCCTTCTAAATTCAGAACCAAAATAATGCATTGTATTTAAAAAAATTAGGGCGCAGAGTTTCAGTTAGACGGGAAGAATAAGTTTTTTGAGATCTGTTTGCTCCATATGCTGACTATATTTAATAATAAGGGGCTCGGCTTGATGGCTTATACCTATAATCCTAGCACTTTGGGAGGCCAAGGCAGAAGGATGACTTGAGGCCAGGAGTTAGAGACCAGCCTGAGCACCATAGTAAGACCCTGAGACCAGTCTCTACAAAAAATAGAAAAATTAGTGGTGGCACAGTGCCTGCAGTTCCAGCTAGGAACTATGCATCTGTTGGAAGGGTCTTTTCCTTGGCTCTGAACTTTCTCTGGCCTATGCAAATAGCCACAAAAAGTAGAATCTCTAATCTCAGAATTGCAAAAGGAGAAAGGCCCAAAAGATTGATTGTCCAGACTCACCAAGACCATAAACAGACGGGCCCAGTCAGATTTCTTCAGAAGTCTTTTTGTTTTCTTTCAGGAAGTTAAAAAAAGGAAAAAAAAAAATCTGTATTTATTTCTTTTTAAACTAGGGTATAAATCTCTCACACAAGGTTTTAAATATAATGATGATAAACATCACAGTGTTGCACAAAGCATTTTTACTATTCTCAATTTAAAATACTTGTAAAGAGGCCACCAAGCCTACAAAAATTACATAGATGCATGACAAAAATCCACTCTGACCAATGTTCTAAATGGTAACTGGAAGAATATGGGGTAACAGGTACTCAACTGTGTGATCTTAAACATAAAGACCTTTTCCTCTTTCTACAATGTGATCCTGGACAGAGTAGGTACTGGAGGTCTGGCTCAAACAAATCTGACCTTTTCAGGAACTCCGGGATAGATAGATATTAATAAAGGGCCAAATATTCCTCAACTGTTGAAAGTGACTCCCCTCGAAAAGGGGCCACATTCAAGGAACCAGAAGGCCACATGTAGCCCTGAGGCTGCGGGTTCCTCACCCCTGGAAGGTATGGTAGCTTAACATGGGTTTCAGTGACACACAGTAGGATGCTATATCAACTTTCAGCACAACTTCCTGGCTACAATGGCATGGGCAAAACTAGCATTTATTTCTTCAGGTGACAATGCATTATAAAGATGTAATAATATATAAAAAAAATAATAGTATATAAAGAGCTACATTCATTTACTTCCTTATCCTGTGGGCAAATGTTCAAACACTACCCTTTTAGTACCCAAAGAACATTTACATCAAATCTACTAAAGAGTTTATGATTACCATTTATGGTTTAATATGTGAGCTTTTTATTACCTCATTCTCTTTCTGAATATATAAACCACACAGCGTCCTTAATATTTATAAGTAGTGATTAGATCCTAACACGAGACCATAGAGACTAAAATATAAGGAAAAACATCAGTTGTCAAGTAAAGAATAAAAGACCCCTTTTCACTACTGCAGTTGACAAGTCTTTAAAAAAAACACAACAACAACAGATATTCTAGATGACATGGGAAAAAGTAATGCCTTAAACTAAAATATTCCAAAGTTTAAACATCACTAGGCCCAGGGTTTAAAACTTGCAAATATTATTATAGATTACTTTTTAGTGTTTTTCTTAAATGTAAATAAATGCATTCTTTACTGAATCTTTAAAAAAAAGGGGGGGGGCATACATTACACCTGTTGTTTGTAGGATAGATAGCCAGCCTCATGTACATCAAGAAGTTTTATGACAGAAGAAAATAAAATCATCAGAATAAAAATGGAATGCAGAGATAAAAAATTTGAAAATAAGCATTTGCTTTCTCTATGCCAATGTTGGGTCTTTTCAAATTAAAACAAAACAAAATGTGCATATTTCTAAATATTATAAAGCAAATCAGTCCACCTAAAAGGTGAGAGGAGAATGAATTTTCCACTTAGGGCAATTCTGAAAGAAATGTTAAAGACATTTAAACTTTAACAAACCAGTAACATATAAAAGAAAAAGTGCTAGATCTCAAACTTGGATTTGAGGCCTAGTTCCCTGACATGGCAATAACTTCATCTCTATTTTCTTCTGTAAAATGGGGAATTATTACTATAGGATTATTGCGAGGATTAGAAAAGATTATAGATTACTCTCATATTTGCTAACTCTAAGAAACTAACTACTGATATTAATATTCCCTAAGACTAGTAAGAATAGAGTCAGTTTAATGTTTTATTGCTTTCTATACAGGTTTAGAGATTTCACTCCATTACTTTTAGAGTACCAGATCCAACATCTGTAATAAACGGCAGTAGTCACATATTTCAGATATAATATAAAGATTTCAAATATTTACTTAAAACAAAGTTCTTATCATTTCAAATAATATTTCAAATTACTCATGTTAGCTTCCAATGGTCTGGTCTAAATAAAAGAAGTTTCTCAAACAGGTAGGATGCTTCTGAATCTAAGCAGTGCATAAAGAGCAAAAAATTTATTCACTCTTAATCTATCTTACTCTCTTTAATTGCCCTTCATCACCCCATTGTTTCTTTCTCTAGAAGAATATTTATTTACACCATGCTGTATAGACAACTTTGGTTTAAAAAACCCCCAAAAACCCAGTGGAAGCAAAAGGGCAAATTATTAACAAGAAAAAGTCAAGTGGTTCCATGGTAAATGAACAAAGTAAGAAGTAGGGTAAAACATATTTAAAAACACAAAATTGCCAAGCACACAATGGGGAAGGACAGTCTCTTCAATAAATGGTGTTCGGACAACTGGTAATTCACATGTAGAAAATTAGACCCTTATCTTACAACATATACAAAAATCAACTCAAAATGGATTTAAGACTTAAACATAAAAACTGAAACTGTAAAACTACTAAAAGAAAATGTGACAGTGATATGGGCAATGATTTTTTACAAATGGGATTACATCAAACTAACAGCCTTCTGCACAGCCAAAGAAATAACCAACAGAATAAAGAGACAACCTTTGGAATGAAAGAATATTTTTGCAAACCATATACGTGATATGGGATTTAGATCCAAAATAAATAAGGAATGCAAGCAACACATTAGCAAGAAAACCACCTGATTATAAAAATGGGCAAAGAACCTGAACAGATATTTCTCAAAAGACATACAAATGGCCAAAAGGTGTATTAAAAAAATGTTCAATATCACTAATCATCAGACAAATGCAAATTAAAACTACAATGAGGTATCAACTCACACCTATTAGAATGGCTATTATCAAAAAGACAAAAGATAACAAGTGTTAGAGAGGGTGCAGAGAAAAGGAAACCCTTGCACACTGTTGCTAAGAATGTAAATTAGTACATTATGGAAAATGGTTTGAAGTTTCCTCAAAAAACTAACAGAACTACTTATGATCTAGCAATCCCACTACTGGGTGTATATGCAAAGGAAATGAAATCAGTATGTCAAAGAGATAGCTACACTCTCATGTTCACTGCCACATTATTCACAATAGCCAAGATACAGAATCAATCTAAGTGTTCATCAATGGATGAACAGATTAAAAAAATGTGGTATATATATACACAATGGCATACTATCCAGCCTTAAAAAAGAATGAAATACTCTCATTTTCAGCAGCATGAATGAACCTGGAGGACATTATGTTAAGTGAAATAGCCAGGCACAGAAAGACAAACACCACATGATGTAACTTACATGTGGAATCTAAAAAAGTTGAACACATGGAAGTAGAGAGTAGAATGATGGTTCCTAGAGGCCTGGGGTCAGGGATGTGGATTGAAGAAATGTTGGTCAAAGGATACAAAATTTCAGTTAGATTGGAGGAATAAGTTCAAGAGACTTATTATACAGTATGATAACTATAGTTAATAACAATGTATTGCATTCTTGAAAATTGCTAAGAGAGTAGATTATTCTAATTTTATTTTTTTGGAGACAAGAGTCTCACTCTTTTGCCCAGGCTGGGCTTGAACTCATGATCCTTCTGCCTTAACCTCTCAAGTAGCTGGGACTACAGGTTCATGCCACCACACCTGGCTAGATTTTAAGTGTTCCCACCATAAAAAATGATAAGTCTGTGAGGTAATGCATATGATAATTATCTCAATTTGGCCATTCCACAATGTATACATATTTCAAAGCATCATACTGTTCATAAGTATTTATTGTATACAATTTTATAAACAAAAAAATAAAGTAGAAAAATATATAAAAGCACAAAAATAAATTTAAAAACACAAAAACCTCATTTAGATCAGCTTTAGTATGAATTTCATGCCAACTATTTAGTGTTTCTGCTTATTCTGCATGCATAAAAAATTTTCAGAAACACGTATGTGTTCTTACCTTTAGATTTGGGAATTAGCTCTCCACAACTGAGTATCCGTACCTCAGCAAATGGTTTGCTAGCTGCATCTGTTTTCTGGTTTTCTATCTCTCTTACAACTTCTTGACCAGAGATCACTTGCCCAAAAACAACATGATGCCTACAGAATCAAGCAAAGATGATTAAATAAAAATTTCTTATTTTAGTATTAACTTCAATCAGGTTGTAAAATAAGTAAAATAATATTTACCCATCTAAATGAGGAGTTGGTTTTGTTGTTCTTTTGGAAGTCATCAGATAGAAGAATAAAAACAAAGTCAGAGAAAAACAAAGTTAGCATCTCTAAAAAGGAAAAGAAAATAACTGTATTGGAAACCACAGTTGAAAACAAAAAAATCATATGCTATCTTACCATAATAGAATCATATTACCTTAACCTTAGGTAGAACAGGATGCACTATGTTTTCCACATAACATATTTTTCAAAACTTGTTCTGATTATAAAAGCAATAGCTACTCATTGTTAAAAACTGGATATAATTAAAGTTGACATTTTGGTGTTATTCCTGTTTCTTGCATATAACTGAGTTCTTAGTGAATATTTGTGGTTGTATAATATTCTTCTATATAGACATATCAACATTTATTAAACCGTTCACCAGCTTATGGATTTAACAATAGTGCTATTCAATCTAAATATTTTAAATAGTTAGAGTGTGGTCATATTCTGATGGTCTTCAGGCATACTCTTTTAGATCTCACAGAATTGGTCCACACCATGTTTACAAATTTGAAAATTAGCTGCCAACATTTAAACTTTCAGATACTTTCACATAAAAATCACAGTTCAGACCTCTCTGGAAAACCTGAGAGTGTGGTATCTGGCTTATGGCAATAGTTGGCCAGAGCCGAATATTCCTGTCTCGGATAAATAGTTTGGTTTCTTGTCCAAGCAGGTGTTATTTATGTTACTTGCCTTGCCTAGGCTTTTGAATTTGTTATCCCTGACATAAAGTAAACTTCATGATGAAGAAAGAGACCTGGATTAGAACTTAGAACAAAACCTAAAATTAGCCTTTTTTTTGGAGACAGTCTCGCTTTGTTGCCCAGGCTAGAGAGTGCCGTGGCGTCAGCCTAGCTCACAGCAACCTCAAACTCCTGGGCTCAAGCAATCCTGCTGCCTCAGCCTCCCGAGTAGCTGGGACTACAGGCACGCGCCACCAAAGCCCGGCTAATTTTTTCTGTATATATTAGTTGGCCAATTAATTTCTTTCTATTTATAGTAGAGACGGGGTCTCGCTCAGGCTGGTTTCGAACTCCTGAGCTTGAGCAATCCGCCCGCCTCGGCCTCCCAGAGTGCTAGGATTACAGGCGTGAGCTACAGCGCCCGGCCAAAATTAGCCTTTTTTGGGCAAATAAAATAATTTTTAAAAATTCCCCCTGCCAGATCTACCTTAAGTCTATGTAGTTAAGAAGACTACTACTTCAAAAAAAAATAAAAAGAAGACTACTACTTCAATGTGTACCAGACATACAGGCATAATAAAGATGGGCTTTTTATAAGATTATTTTTAAAAATCTTAACAAAAAAGGAACACAACTTAAGCTAAATCTTCCTTAAAGCAAGCATAATACTACTGAAAAAAATTATAACACATACGTGTATTTTTAGGTTTACCTAACTTGAAAGACCTACTCTTGTTTCCTCACTACTATACTATGCTTACTTGAACTTGCTACAATCACCTAGAAATGTGAAAACATTGGTATACTATATATATTTATAGAATAATATATATACTTATATTACAGATTACATCCTCATTTCACTGATTCTGTATTTGCAAGTTCTGCTAAGGCTTATTTATAACCCCAAAATTAATAATACTTGTGGTGCTTTCATGCCCGTTTGCAGATATGCACAGAGAAGTAAACAAGTTTGTTGGTAAGGACATTAAAAAATTACAACTCTTGTATACTGCTGGTAGGAATGTAGTTGCAAAATGGTGCAACTACTGTAAAAAAGTTTGGCCGTTCTTCAAAAAGCTAAACATAGAATTACCGTGTGACATGACCCAGCAATTCGACTTCTAGGTATATACCCTCCAAAAATGAAAACATAGACTCAAATACCAATGTTCACTGTAGCATTAATTGCAATGTCCAAAAGGTAGAAACAAAACAAATGTCCATTAACAGATGAATGGACAAACAAAATGTGGTATATAAATACAGTGGGGTATTATTCCACCATAAAAAGGAATGGAGGCTGGGCACGGTGGCTCACTCTTGTAATCCTAGCACTCTGGGAGGCCAAGGCAGGCAGATCGCTCAAGGTCAGGAGTTCGAAACCAGCCTGAACAACAGCAAGACCCCATCTCTACTAAAAATATAAAGAAATTACTTGGCCAACTAACAATACACAGAAAAAATTAGCCGGGCATGGTGGCGCGTGCCCGTAGTCCCAGTTACTCAGGAGGCTGAGGCAGAAGGACTGCTTGAGCCCAGGAGTTTGAGGTTGCTGTGAGCTAGGCTGATGCCATAGCACTCTAGCCTGGGCAACAGAGTGAGATTACTCTGTCTCAAAATAAAAAAAAAAAAAAAAAAAAAAAGGAATGGAGTTCTGATATATGCTTTAATATGAATAAACCTTGGTAACATGTTAAGTGAAACAAACCAGTCAAGAAAGGACAAATATTGTGTGATTCCACTTAAATAAAATATTCTGAACAGGCAAATTAATAGAGACAGAAACTAGATTGGACGTTACCAAGGGCTGGAGGGGAGGGGAAATGGTTACAGAGTTTCTGGGAGGATGACACTATTCTGGAAATAGTAGTGATGGTTGTACAATACTGTGAAAATAAACATGACTGAACCAAGCACTTACAGAAACAGCAAATCTTATAGTAAAAACTATTATTTTTATTTTTTTTTTTTTTTGAGACAGAGTCTCGCTTTGTTGCCCAGGCTAGATGGCATGCCGTGGGCGTCAGCCTAGCTCACAGCAACCTCAAACTCCTGGGCTCAATTGTTCCTCCTGCCTCAGCCTCCCAAGTAGCTGGGACTACAGGCATGCACCACCTATGCCCGGCCTAATTTTTTGTATATATATTAGTTGGCCAATTTCTTTCTATTTATAGTAGAGACGGGGTCTCGCTCTTGTCAGGCTAGTTTCGAACTCCTGACCTCGAGCAATCCGCCGCGCCTCGGCCTCCCAGAAGCTAGGATTACAGGCGTGAGCCACCAGCGCGCCGGCAGTAAAACTATAGATATAAGGATTGGAAGCTCTCTAAAACTGAAGTTTCCTTTCAAAAACAGATGTGTAAGTAAGGAAGGTTACCTAGAAAATGGAAAGAAGATTAAGGAGAAATCAACACTTTAGAAGATCTGAGAATATACATGAAGGATTATATGAACTTAACATGGGGGTTTTGTTTTAGCACAATGGGAGAGTTTTATTAAAAAGGAAATAAATTGATTATTACTCTGTGTGTTGTTGAAAATTTTGGTAAAATTAGCCTTACATACACACTGGTGCTACTTATACTTCGTTTTGGAAAGTCAATGTAGCAATAATATATGAAAAAGACTTAAACGTGTAAATATTTCGCTATACTAACCTCTAGCAATCTTATACTAAAGAAATTTTTAAAACTGCACCAAACAATAGGCTACAAGTATTCATCAAAAGCTGTTGGAAAACAGTGAAGCACACCAATGTCCAAATATTAGACGTAAATAAAGCACAGTAACATTCAAATAAGCAATGAGGGGCTCAGCGGGGCTCGTGTAGTCATTAGAAATGCTAATATACTTACTGATGTGCAAAGGGATTACATTACATTTAAAAGTTGATTATAAGGCCCGGCGCTGTGGCTCACGCCTGTAATCCTAGCTCTGGGAGCCGAGGCGGGCGGATTGCTTCAAGGTCAGGGAGTTCAAAACCAGCCTGAGCAAGAGCGAGACCCCGTCTCTACTATATAATAGAAAAATTAATTGGCCAACTGATATATATATAAAAAATTAGCTGGGCATGGTGGCGCATGCCTGTAGTCCCAGCTATTCGGGAGGCTGAGGCAAAAGGATCACTCAAGCCCAGGAGTTTGAGGTTGCTGTGAGCTAGGCTGACGCCACGGCACTCACTCTAGCCTGGACAACAAAGTGAGACTCTGTCTCAAAAAAAAAAAAAAAAAAAAAAAAAAAAAAAAAAGTTGATTATAAGGCCGGGCGCGGTGCCTCATGCCTGTAATCCTAGCACTCTGGGAGGCCAAGGCGGGCGGATTGCTCCAGGTCAGGAGTTCGAAACCAGCCTGAGCAAGAGCGAGACCCCGTCTCTACTATAAATAGAAAGAAATTAATTGGCAACTAAATATATACAAAAATTAGCCGGGCATGTGGGTGCGTGCCTGTAGTCCCAGCTACTCGGGCGGCTGAGGCAGGAGGATTGCTTGAGCCCAGGAGTCTGAGGTTGCTGTGAGCTAGGCTGACGCCATGGCACTCACTCTAGCCTGGGCAACAAAGTGAGACTCTGTCTCAAAAAAAAAAAAAAGTTGATTATAGAGCATATGCAAAAGTCCACCAACATTTTTACTACATAGAAAGATGCTCTGGGAGTAGATTTTTTTATTTTCCTGTGTTTTCTAATTTTCCTACAGCAAAGGTAATAATGTAAGTTGTTTCATTTTTAAAAATCAGAAAGACCCATATATGAGCAATTAGTTGAATAAACTCCAGTAAATGCAAACAATGAAGTACTACGCAACTACAAAAAAGAATGAAAATGATCTCTGTAAACTGATATACTCAGTGATTTCAAGGGTAAGTGACAAGAGCAAATCAGTATATATAGTATGCTATCTATTGTGTAAAAAAATACATATATATCTGCTTATGTTTGCAAAAAGAAATATACGAAAATAATCCAGAAACTAATGAGGCTGATTACTAACATGGATAGGTTGGACTGGGGTAAAAAAAGTGGGAAAATGGGAATGGAATGGAAGGGCTGGGTAGAAGTGACACTTAGAGTATTCTTTGTGTTTTGACTTTTGGAATCATGTTAGTATTTTATAAACTTAAAAAAACAACAAAACAAATCAAAAAACGTGGGAAGGAGAAATGAAATACAATTAGAAACAAATGAATCTAACATATTTCAGAGAAAATCACACAAAAAAGTACTAAGTCACTTTTAAACATGGTGTTTTAACTACTACCCTCAGTCTAAAAACAAAAATAACTATGAATAGTGAACTCTAGTCAGAGGTTCTTTTCACAGGAGTGTAGGATGGCAATTGTTCATTCTAGGATTCAGCAAATGAATAGAAACGTTGAAGACTACAGGCGCCAGACTGCTCACTGTGGAAGAAAGGAGTAATAAATATGAAATAGGGAAACACCAAAATAATCCACAGGGTGCTGACAGATTCCTCAGAGACCAGGAGAGCTCAAGGCTGTTGAAGAGGAAAGCAAATCTGTATTCACAGGGATAGGATTAAAAAATTCATATAATTTAGAGTCCTTGAAGCCAAAAAAAAAAAAAAAAAAAAATACATATATTGCTAATAGGAGATGTGGTCACAATCAGAATCAGAAACCAGTCAGAATTGGAAACCCCTAACAGATTGATTTTGGAGTTATGAATAAATTTAAGCGAGTACATGAAATCACAAATACAGAATCAGGGAATAGTGAGGACTGATTGATTGTATTTTACTCTTTGTAATTAAATAATATGTGGACAAATGCTCCATGTCAACATCCTGTTCTCATTATAATTGCCCTTCTAAATTTAGCATTCATAGAAGAAAGACTCTTGCCTGAATCAATTATTACTGCGATGATTATAAAACAGTGACTTTTCTAACTCCATCATTCCCTTTATATTTACTAGTTGACATTCCACTAAAGGGATAGCCATCCCTTCTCCCTTGTTATCTATTCATTTATTTATATCAGTGTGGAATCCTAGCTCCTATTTGATTATAAACCGATATTATCATTATTGATTTTGATGTTCAAAATGTCCTAATTTGGCTTGTCAGAACCCCTTTAAGCTGACTCCTGTGTCCTCTAGACAAGTCTCTATCATTTGAAAACTTTAGCACCGTAGTTCAATTTCCCTCAGCAGTTTTCTCCTCTTCAAAAATTCTTTATTCCCACAACAACAATTCCTTCTTCTTCATGAATTCCTCTCTATTTATTAGTCATCAATGGCAGGCACATGGAGAAAGGTAGACCAAAACTGGGATGTTTTAAATCACCAGATTATAAATACTTACATGAAGAACTGTGAACCATTTGTATCTTTCCCTCTGTTGGCCATTGACAAGAGAAATTCTTTGTTGTGTTTAACAGCAAAACTCTCATCTATAGAGAAGCAAGTTTTCAGTTACATTATAGGCATAACCTCCAAAAAATTCATTTTTATTCCTCTTCAAATCTGATGTAGTTCTTTAGTGCCAGACACAATTTAGATAACCAAGTTAGTTTATGAAAGAATAGTGAATCAAATATGAATTTTTCCTCCCATATTTTTAGATTAAAATGTTGTTAATTTTATGCCAACTGCTTATAAAACCCAAATACTATTATCAATCCCTTTTCTTTCCACTTGTATTTGTTCTTCAAAATTTTTAGAAACACAACTTAGCTTTCTTAAATAAAAAACTAAACTCTCCTTAAAAAGCAAGAGAAGGCAGGCTGGGCATAGTGGCTCACACCTATAATCCAAGTATGTTGAGAGGCCAAGACGGGAGGATCACTTGAGCCTAGGAGTTCGAGACCAGCCTGGACAACATATAGCAAGGCCTCGTCTCTACAAAAAATTTAAAGAGTAGCCAGGTGTGCGCCTGTAGTCCCAGCTACTCAGGAGGCTGACACATGAGGATTGCTTGAGTGCTGGAGTTCAAGGTTGTAGCCTACTATGATCCCACCTATGAATAACCACTGCACTCCAGCAAAGGTAATATAGCAAGATCCTATCTCTCTCCTGTTTTTTTTTTGAAACAGAGTCTCATTCTCTTGCCTGGGCTTGAGTGCCATGGCGTCAGCCTAGCTCACAGCAACCTCAAATTCCTGGGCAGCTCGGACTACAGGCACACATCACCATGCCTGGCTAGTTTTTTCTATTTTTAGTTGTTTAGCTAATTTCTTTCTATTTTTAGCAGAGATGGGGGTCTCACTCTTGCTCAGGCTGGTCTCGAACTCCTGAGCTCAAACGATCCTCCCACCTCGGCCTCCAAGAGGTCATGAGCCACTGCGCCCGCACAAGATCCCATCTCTTAAAAACAACAACAAAAAAATACGAGTCCAGATAGGATTTCTTTACATTTCACTTGTTTCATTTCTGAGCACAGAGAGGCACACATAACATTATTGAGCCTGGACTCATTAATGCAACCTCTGCCATAGAATCACTTATTGGAGGCCAGGCGCAGTGGCTCATGCCTGTAATCCTAGCACTCTGGGAGGACAAGGCGGGCAGATCACTCAAGATCAGCAGTTCGAAACCAGCCTGAACAAGAGCGAGACCCCGTCTCTACTAAAAATAGAAAGAAACTAATTGGCCAACTAACAATACACAGAAAAAAGTAGTCGGGCATGGTGGCGCAAGCCTATAGTCCAAGCTACTCGGGAGGCTGAGGCAGCAGGATTGCTTGAGCCCAGGAGTTTGAGGTTGCTGAGAGCTAGGCTGACGCCAAGGCTAGAACTCTAGCCCAGGCAACAGAGTGAGACTCTGCCTCAAAAAAAAAAAAGTTACTTACTGCAAAGAGAAGAATTTGTATTCCAATCATGGATAATTATATTAAGAACAAAACATGTAGAATCTGAAACAAAATTTCACCAAATCTAAAAACCGAAAGATGGAAAATATTAAATTATTTGCACATTAAAATGTGTGGAGTTTTCCAAATGATCTTCGTATCAATAAAAAAATTCCAGAGAGAAAACTTAAATTTGGGGAAAACATTATAACCAAAATTTTAAAATATCAAAGAGATTTCTTAAAATTTCATTGGAAAATTTTGTTATTGTTACTAAGAAATATTGCTGGATCTCCTTTAATGAAGGTTAAGATTGAGCTATAAAAGTTCCTAGTTTAACACTACAACTAAACTCTTTCAAATAGTACAATGTACAAACATCCCAAAAATAAAAAATCCATCACCATAAAAAGTATACAAACATAAAATATTTCACAAGAAAATTAACCTTCAGATTCATTTAAGGTAGCTGGATATTAACACACTGTTTAATAAATAATCTTATTGAGTCAATAGAGAAAAATCAAATAAACAGAATAAAAAAACATTAAAAACATAATTTAAATGTAAACATTTTTACCTTCAAAAAACCCTCCATAAATAGATTCCCCTCCTCGTCCATTTCCTAAGAATGAAAAACACAAACTCTTAATACTGGCAAGAAAGCGAGTTCTTCAAAGATGCTACCTGAACAATATACTTCTGAAAAAGTAGATGCTCAAATGATTCTGAATCAATAATACTCAAAGGATCATACCAAATCATAAAAGATATGGTATAACTATGACAAAGACTACTAATATACATGGAAAAAAGAACTTTCAGATGCTAAAGATGCTTATCCAGGTCTTTCAACAGGAATTAATGACTTTTCCCCAAAGTGTCTTTAAAAATACAGTTCCAATGTTTTTACAATAAAAAAAGTATAGGTAAAAATTATATTGTAGTAAGGATTACTAGTTGTGACAAAATCAAACACTTAACACTGACAGATTACTAAGAGATAAGCATAGTGTTTTGTTTTGGTATCCAGAAGCAAATTTCTTGAAATTAATTTCATGCATCAAAGGTGAAATTATTTTTATGTGCTTCCGTCTTTTATATATTTCCATGAGTACTCTTAATTGTTTGACCAAAGACTAAATGGAGTGAGAAGAAAATTGGACTAAGACTAGGGACTTGTATAACTCTGAGATCTGTGATACTTAACAAAAGAACACATGATTTTTTAAAAAGTCTCACCTTCACTGAAGTCACCACCTTGAACCATAAAATCCTTGACAACTCTGTGAAATAGACAACTCTTATAATGTAATGGCTTCTGAGTTGATTTCCCTGTCCCCTTTTCACCTACAGAGAAGAAAAATTAGCATGACATTTAGTAGAAAAAAAATCAAAGATGCAGTATTAAAGCAAATAAATGAAAACTTTTGCCCCGTAAAATATATGTCTCTTTTCAAAATACTCCTCATACTAAGAAATAAAAATAATGAAAAATCAAAATTTAAAAATAAAAAGAATAAAATATACATGTCTTGACACTTTATAGACTTCTTTAAAACAGAATTTTCAATACTTTCAGAATTTTTTTTTTGAGACAGAGTCTTGCTTTATTGCTGAGGCTAGAGTGAGTGCCGTGGCATTAGCCTAGCTCACAGCAACCTCAAACTCCTGGGCTCAAGCAACCCTACTGACTCAGCCTCCAGAGTAGCTAGGACTACAGGCATGTGCCACCATGCCCGGCTAATTTTTTCTATATATATTGGTTGACCAATTTCTTTCTTTCTATTTTTAGTAGAGACGGGGTCTCGCTCTTGCTCAGGCTGGTTTCGAACTCCTGACCTTGAGCAATCCGCCCACCTCGGCCTCCCAGAGTGTTATGGACTACAGGCATAAGCCACCGCGCCCAGCCTCCTTTCAGAATTTTTAAAAAATTCATTTAAAAACCACCCATATATTTCTGGAGAATACAGATTATTATATTCAGATAATATCCCATTACAACCAATACTTCTAAGAATTACTTTTATGCCCTAGTCAATGCTACATAATCCTCATGTGAAAAAGTTATATGCATGAAGAAATAAAAAATATAATAAATCAAAAATTAAAGCAAGTCATGCCAGGTGTGGTGGTGTACACCTGTAATCCCAGCCACTCAGAAGGCTGAGGTGGGATCACTTGAGTCCAGGTATTCAAGGCCAGTCTGGGCAACATAATGAGACACTGTCTCTTAAAAAAAAAAAAGAAAAATCAAGCCACAGTCAAGTGGGACTACTATTAGGAGAATGAAAATGTGAACAAACCTGTACAAAGACAACGAAAGTTCTCGCATGTTTTAGGGCACACATCTGAAAATAATTCAAAGACCACTCTTCCAGCTGAAAAAGAAAGTAGTTGGTTTAAACTTCTCTACTAATTTAAAATATTAAATACTTCTTTATAAACGTTAACTAATATTCTTACCAGGCTGATTGTTAATGGCAATGTCAAAAAAACATCGAGGACGCTGAACCTTTATTCCCATGGCTCCAAGACTGCAATCTATGAGTAAAATACAATTTCAGAGAAGCACACTAAAACAGCAATGATTTTTCACAAATTTCTGGAAAAATAATTCTATGGAATTTAACTAGAAATGTAGTTTGAATTTATTTTGGTATTTATTTCTGAAGTAAATCATGTGGATTATTACTGCTTTCATTTTAGAAATTAGATTGCATTTTGTGAGGCAAATAGAAAAGACTTGAAAGGTAAGTCTTAATCATTATTATGTAATCAAATTTCTATTCTATAAACCAACAACAGATTACCAACTCAAACAGAAAATTGTATAAAGTCTGTATGATTAGTGAACTCAACAGATTACCTTTAAATAGGAAAAAAAAAAAACCCAACAAAACCAAAAAACCCCCAAAACAAACAAACAAACAAACAAGAAACCCAGGGACAACTGATCTAATCCCTTAAATGAAAATGAGAGTTCTGATTAAAATGCGAGGCTTGGCTGATCCAATGGTATTGAGTTATCAGAACTTGACTAACATTAGTGTCACTGAAGTTGGTATTCAACCCCCAACTGCTAAATTTGAATGGCTAAAAAAAAAGAAAGAAAATGTGAGGCTTTAAAAAACTGAAGAAAAATATTCAAATTCCTACAATAACACCAAAAATAAATCATCTAGGAAGAAAAAAACCTGACGGCATTTTAGTGACAGCATGGTATCATGAAATGGCATGTATAGTAGGTTTACATTCTGAATAAAAACACATTTTTTTTTTTTTGATGCAAGGTCTCATTCTGTTTCCCTGGCTAGACTGCGGTGGTATGATCCCAGCTCACTGCAACCTCAAACTCCTGGGTTCCAGTGATTTTCCTGCCTCAGTCTCTCAAGTTTTAACAGCTAAGAACAGGCACGCACCATCATGTCTTGTTAATATTTATTTATTTATTGTAGAGACAGGGTCTCCTATGTGACCCAGGCTGGTCTCGAACAAACACCTGGCCTCAAAAGATCTCCAAGATCCTCTCCTGTCTCAGTCTCCCCAAGTGCCAGGATTACAGGCCTGAGTGACTGAGCCTGGCCCTTTATCCGTTTAAATTAAAATCTTTGAGATAATTGTAGTTTCACATGCAACTATAGAAAATACAGAGAGATCCAGTGTGCACTTTACCCAGCTCCCTTCAATGGGAACATTTTGCAAAATTGAGATACAATTGCACAACTATAGCATAATAGCTGTTACAATTCACCTGTTTTATTCCCATTTCCCCAATTTTACTTGTACTCAAGTTTAGTTTTACACAATTATATCACACGTGTAAAAGCAAGGGAGAGAGGCTGGGCGCAGTGGGTCACACCTGCAATCCTAGCACTCTGGAAGACCGAGGCGGGTGGATTGCTCAAGGTCAGGAGTATAAAACCAGCCTGAGCAAGAACGAGATCCCATCTCTACTAAAAATAGAAAGAAATTAATTGGCCAAATAAAAAATATAGAAAAAATTAGCCGGGCATGGTGGCGCATGCCTGTAGTCCCAGCTACTTGGGAGGCTGAGGCAGAAGGATCACTTGAGCCCAGGAGTTGGAGGTTGCTGTGAGCTAGGCTGATGCCACGGCACTCTAGCCCAGGCAACAGAGTGAGACTCTGTCTCAAAAAAAGAAAAAAAAAAAAAAGCAAGGGAGAGAAAGGGGAGGCTCAACAACCCCTTTGCCCGAATTATTAACAATTTGAAAAACACAAATTACATGCATTCATTCATTTAATGCTGATTGTGTGAAGAATTTTATTATATAAAAGATTACGCTGAGTTCAAATTCAGCCCAAGTGTTGGTATATTCACTTTTGGCATTAATGCATGGGAAAGGGGGAAAAATAATATTTTCTCATAACCTCCTCCATTTAAAAATTACTAAGAGATATAACAGACACTAGAATTTTTTTGTGCAAAAACAGCTACCTTTCAATCCTCCAACAGAAAATAGACATAGACTTCCTTAGAAGAACAAAAACCTAGCTATCTTAATATCCTGCCAAACTTGTTGCATTAAGCTTTTTTTTTTTTTTTACTTCTTCTTTCATACAATTCTGCTTGACAAGCATGAAGGATTTCAAGTGCTGCACATTTAGAATTGAGAATACTCTGAATCCATAAATCTGAGGTAATTATCCTAATCTTAAAGAAAAATTGCAGGCAGGAAGCAAGAATAAATTAATAATAATTTTAAAAAAAATAAGAAAAATATTAGGCCCAGGTGCAGTGGCTCACACCTGTAATCCTCGCACTCTGGGAGGCTCAAGGATGATCACTTGAGCCCAGGAGTTTGAGCTTGCTGTGAGCTAGGCTGATGCCACCACATTCTAGCCTGGGCGACAGAATGACAAAACAAAACAAAAGAAAAACATTAAATTAATATATAGTGCCTGATTATCTTTACCTTCTAAACAATTTTTGTAGGCCTTCTTAAATTCTCTACTTTGGGGGATAGAGGAAGAAAAGAGGAAATTTAATGATTTACTTATGTATTTTCTTCCAAAGAAACTTTTACAGGTATTTGTTTAATTACAATGTCCCAACCTTTCTATTCCTGTAGTTTGTGTCACTGTCAAAAACATACCAAATTTTGTTTACAACTACAGTTAATTTGTTAAAGACTGCATTCTTTAAAACAAACTCCAAATTTGAAAACCAAGCAAAAGTTAATGAAAATTCAAAAAAATCCCTAATTACCCATAACCTTTTAGACACAATCTTTGATGATCTTCCAAATTTCACAACTCTAAGGCACAATCTCATTCACCCTGTCATTCTGGGACTTGGAAATTGTAATAAATATCACTACTAATTATGGTGTCAGGAGCCTACGTGGGAGGAGCTACTAGGATAGTAGTGTGTTCTGTTTTTTAAAAAAATCTCAATGCTTATGGGTGACTTTACTTTGGGAAAATGTTGAGCTATACTTAAGAATGTGTACTTTTTATTAAAAATAATTAGGCCAGGCTCAGTGGCTCATGCCTATAATCCCAACACTTTGGGAGGCCAGAATGGGAGGATTGCCTGAGACCAGGAATTGAAGATCAGTCTGGACAACACAGCGAAACCCACCTCTACAAAAAATAATAAAAATAAAATTAGCCATGGTGGCATGCGCCTGTAGTCCCAGCTACTCGGGAGGCTGAGGTGGGTGAATCACTTAAGCCTAGGAGTTTGAGATTACACTGAGCTGTGATTGGACACTGCACTCCAGCCTGAGACACAAAGAGAGACCCTGTCAATCAATCAATCAAATATCTAAAACAAAACTCATTCCCCTACCCCTATTGCCTCAAATACTTAATAAACATTATGATCGTCCAAGTCAGCTGCTAAGGCTGAAAACTTTAGGGTCACGTTTGGTTACACTTTCCTTCATACCTCATTATCCATCCAAATCATTAGGAGGTCAATTTGGCTCTAGTTTCTTTTTTTTTTTCCTTTTTTTTTTTGAGACAGTCTCACTCTGTTGCCCAGGCTAGAGTGCCGTGGTGTCAGCCTAGCTCACAGCAACCTCAAACTCCTGGGCTCAAGCAATCCTTCTGCCTCAGCTTCCCGAGTAGCTGGGACTACAGGCATGCGCCACCATGCCTGGCTAATTTTTTCTATATATTTTTAGTTGGCCAATTAATTTCTTTCTAGTTATAGTAGAGACAGGGTCTCGCTCTTGCTCAGGCTGGTTTCGAACTCCTGACTTTGAGCGATCCTCCCGCCTCATCCTCCCAGAGTGCTAGGATTATAGGTGAGAGCCACAGTGCCTGGCCTGGCTCTAGTTTCAAAAACTATCACAAATGGCCGGGCATGGTGGCTTGTGCCTGTAATCTCATCTATTCAGGAGGCCTCACATGTAATCTCAGCCTACTCAGGAGATCGAGACAAGCTTGGACAACATAACAAGACCCCATCTCTACAAAAAATATGAAAAATTAGTCAGGCATGGTGGCACATGACTACCAGCTACTCAGGATGCTGAGGCAGGAGAATGGCTTGAGCCCAGGAGTTTGAGGCTGCAGTGAACTATGTTTGTGCCACTGCCCTCCAGCCTGGGCCACAGAGCAAGACCCCATTCTCTTTAAACAAGCAAACAAAAAACTATGTCAAACATTCTACTACCTTTACCATTACCGTCACTTCTTATATAACTATTACAATAACATCCTAATTGGTTTCTCCACTTTTACTCTTAGTTTTATACTGCCTATTCTCCACAGAATAACCAGAATGTTGATTCTTCTAAAACATGAACCTAAATACATCATCCCCCTGCCTAAAACTCTGATGTCTTACCATCCTATTTAACTGAAATGTCTTAGCATGAATTAAGGCTCTACACCAGCACTGTCCAATAGAAATATGAGCCACATAGGTAATTTAAAATTTTTTAGTTCCCACATTTTGACAAGTAAAATTAGGCTAATTTTAATAATATACTCTATTTAACTTAGGATGTACAGGTTGAGCATCCTTGCTGGATATGCTTACAGCCAGAAGTGTTTCAGATTTCCAATCTTTTGAATTTTAGAATATTTGTGTATATATATAACATATCTTGGGGATGAGACCAAAGTCTAAACACCGAATTCATTTATGTTTCCTATATACTTACACACATAACCTGAGCGTAATTTTACACAATATTTAAATGATTTTGTGCAGGAAATTAAGTTTTTTGTGATTTTTTTTTTTTTTGAAACAGAGTCTTGCTCTGTTGCCTGGGCTACAGTGCCATGGTATCAGCCTAGCTCACAGCAGCCTCAAACTCCTGGGCTCAAGCAATCCTCCTAAGTAGCTGGGACTACAGGTGTATGCCATGACGCCTGGCTAATTTATCTATTTTTTTTTTTTTTTTTAGTAGAGATAGGGTCTTGCTCTTGCTCAGTCTGGTCTCAAACCCCTAACCTCAAGCAATCCTCCTGCCTCAGCTTCCCAGATTGCTAGGATTACGGGCATGAGCCACCATACCCAGTGAAATAAAGTTTTTATTAAGTACTTAAGTGTGAAATTTTCCACT